ATAGCTTAAGAAAGATTAATTTTTAATACAGAAATTTTAAACCCAATATATTTCTATTGTGATCATCTACAACTGTAGCCCTGAGGTACTATACTTCACCTTGCTGGGTACAAACACATTTAAACCTTGTCATTTGTCAGAAATCAAGACACACATTATAATAGATAGATGAGAGTGTACAAACATACAGGTAACATAACACTACAAGGTACCTGTGGGGTACGGTAGTAGTGTTCCCGTTTTGCAGGTGTGAAAGAATGTGGTGAACAAATTGGCTATAAGCAGTTCGATATAGGTTGGAAATACCTGTGAGGGTTGAATACAAGATCACTGCCCTTAAAGGTCCACGTTCCTTAAATTCAGATAACATTTTCTTTCTTCATGTTGCCTTCCTCAACATTCGTTCTGGGTCTGTAATCCAACAGTTGAAGGTAACAGGATCATTGAAGACTCTTAGATCATATGTAAGATGTGGTGATTCTGTGAAGTCTCGTAGATCTTCATCACTTTTTACTTGTTTTCATTGCAAGCTTCCTACAATGGCACTTTCACTTCATGTTCTTCATGTTCTTCTTCCCTTTAAGTGTGGAGACCTCGTGTTATATATATACTTACTATTCTGAAATAAACATACTTTTTATTACTTATATAAAATTGTGGTAGTATATAACATAGGATACCTTCTATAACAACAATTTGATGTCATAAAAAGTTTGATTTTTCTGTAAAAATGAGTCCAAAGTAAAAAGCAGTTTTAACAAGGGTTTTTCAGTAGCTAGCAAAAAGAGTAAGAAGAGTTCAGAAAATGAGAAAAATATTTATCTTTCTATAAAATTCACATTTTCAATAATCATAGCCCCTTTCATTTTTTGTGGGTTCCACCAATTATTTCATCCTCGTCTGCAATTGGATGTAAATTTTAATAGCTAGCACATAAATTAGATTACAGGAGTTTGGGGATATTAAGTATTTTGCATTTACTTGCAATAGTTACATTATTTTTCAGTAAACCATTCTTTGTCAGTCACTGGAGTAATAAATCAGAAAAAGGAAATTGGCAAACGCGATTCACTTAATTCCTATTTTTGAGTATTTGAGAACTATACATAGCAAAGCAGTCGTGGAAGGAGATGAGGTAGTTTATAATACTACCATGTTTCTGTGAACTGACCTGAGTAGCATATGTTAGAATGAGATCATAAGACGTGATCAAAAGATATTTAATGAACGTATAGTATGTAAAACTGATGTGCGTGTGTGTCTTGGCACGTATATATTGTTCCTTCATATTGGAATATTAATGTTCTCTTTTCCATAGACTACCCAGGAAGTCTGCAATAAATACAAAACATAGCTATCCACTGACTCACTGATTCTTTGCAATAAATACTTTATCTACATATGTGTACTAGAAGCCATTAATGTGTTTTGATGATGCACTTATGGTGCAATGCTTCCCCCCCCCTTTTTTTCCAAACCAATGTCAGCATATACAGGTATTGGTTTGTGTTCTAGTTTCTGAAAACCTTCAGTGCAAGTTTAAATAGCTTAACTTTTTTTTTGTTTAAAAAGATTTTTTTATAAAAAATGATTTAAAACAAGCGCGTACAAATAACAAATAACCTTCCTCAGTGGCCTTATGCCAAGTCTAGAGGATCTATTAATGGCGCAACTGCGTAAATCCGGTAACGATGCGGGTTTGGGTCCAGAACCATCAGCATTTCAGCTTGGCTTTGTCACGAAAAATAAATCTCGCTATGGTTCGTTCTGTTTTTTGCATCTTTGGCTCAAATTTGACATAGGATAGAGGTCTCAAAGATAATTAAGTCCCATGAGTTTTATGAGAATCGTTGCCTTCATAAAGAGGAGACCCTAGCAGTGACCTGAAATGCGAGGGAAAAACTGCAGCGAGAGATCCCGCGTTGTGAGACCACTGGAGTCTGCGTGGGAGAGCGTCTGTCTAAAGGCCCTGCCGGTGGGAAAAGCCTCGGCTATGGCTTTCAGTCAACCATAAAACATAAATCCATAGGAAACCAAACTTCCTTAGTTTTTATTCTCAAGGAACTATTAATCAGTTGGTTATCAGAATATGCAGAATAGGTTTTAATACAGTGTTGAAACTGTTAGAAAAGTGGAGCATAAACTCTGGTACTTTTCCCACCAGTGGGAAAGGTTTTGTCCAAAAAAAGTCCCGAGATAGAGTAGGGCTCTGTGTGTGGAAGAAGATAGTTTCACTTAGAATTGAGCTGATGCTCCTGGGACCTGGGCTTTTTCACCTAGCAATACCTGGCAGAGAGGGTGTTGTTAATGGAAGATTTCTCAGCGTCTCTCCTGTTTTGTTAACCTGACAAAGCCAGAATGGGTTGACATCTGACTTGCCTTAAATGTGGTTACTAGAGAGGGAAATCTTGAGCCAAAAATATTAGCTTGTTCGCTTATGGCTAATTGTTGGGGAAACGGTTATTAGTCTGTCTGTTGTGCATGTGTCCAATTTCATAAAAATGAGACTTTGGTTAAATTGCACTGGCAGGCCTGCTTAATATTTTGAAAAGAAGTGCTTATAATTAGTTAAGCTTACAACTTCTATCTCACAAGATTAGTCAAACGTCTTTTATTTTGGACATTATACAATTTTGGGAACATACTGTATGGCTCACTGTGCTGTAGATGAATTTTGGCTAAACTATTGGATTTAAAGCCTTCAGCTGCACTTGACACCTCCTGTTTCTTCTCCTGGGTGAAACTGTGCAAATAATTGTATCTTTTTGAGATATTTAAAAAAGTGGCCATCTCTATAAGCATCTACTTTACTTGAAGTTTTTCAGCACTAGATGAAAGATGGCTGGTGAGCAGTAACCTCTGTCAGTTCTTGGACAAGCGGTGTCTCTTGACAGCTCCGGCTGAGGATATTCTTGGTGTAACAAAATCTTAAGGAACTGCAGGAGCATTTTTCTAAGTTTGTCTTATTATCTGTTTGTTTAAATGTCTTTTACATTGTTATCAACAGATCAATTGTGTGGATAGAGTAAACTTAAAATTGCTGGGCACACGGAAGCCTTTAGTAACTGTGGATTTTTATTATGCCATCCTAAGGAGTTTATTTGAATGTTTTGTGGAGCAGGCGGTGATGTGGCAGGCTGTTTCCTATACATGCTTGAACTCCAGGTATCAGAAATACCTAAAATGTTTGGCTCTCTAATAGTATTTTACTACTGTTGGCTGTTTACAGAGGGATTATTGGGTGAAAATCCCTTAAATAGAGCACTGCTTTAGGATTACCATTATGTCTTTGAATGGAGAGAAGTAATTCTTCTACCTTTATCATCTTTTAAAAAGAACAAGTAATAACCACCTGGAATCAGGCTTTTTTTTTTTTTTTTTCCAGGTTAACAGTATTGTTATTAGAACCCCCTTGCATTAAACTAATACACTGAAACTTTCCTGGAAGCTTATATACACCTTCCCTGCGGTATATGTCAATGTGCAGGGGATTGTTTTATGACTACCTGCAGTCATTAATAGGTGTCCCCTTATGTTTTTTGGAGGACCAAAACTCATTAGACCTGAGTAGAGTTTTAGCTAGTTTTTACAGTACTGTATTCCCGTGGAAAGCAGTTTCACTAAAATCAACATCTTTATGAACGTAAAAATTGGGAAAACATTAATTCCATTAATTTAGAATAATATGTAACTCTGACTGTGCTAGCATGCAGGGCTACTCGGGGTGGTGCTTCTCTGCCCTGACGGTGGAAGTCTCCATGAGAGTGCTCATGGACTACCTCAGCTTGCTTTTTTGGGGCAGATGCTGTAAAAGAAATTGGGGAATCAGTAGCCCTGCAGGATCAGTTCGAGGATATTCTATGGGGGAAAGCGTGACTAATTTTGTTTGGGTTTAGGTGATGTCTGTGGGATGTGATTATGGGATGCACTTTTCTGTCTTTGCATTTCCTGGTAGTAATAAATATGGGCGATCTCACAGAAAAAGTATCCAAGGGAATCATATACTGAGGAGTCTTCTGCAACATTGGTTCCAACCAAATAAGTCTTCCCCCCTCCCCTTTTTTTCTTCTTTGTAGTAGCAGTGGGAATTCATGCTTTCACTCAGTACCCAAGAATCCCTTTGTGTTATCAGTAAATATTGTAATGTTTCACAGGGGAATCTAATATTTCCTGCTTACTAAACCTGTGATAATAGATAAGCATATGTAGTTGAACAGTGGTGCATTTTGTGAGAAGTCTTCTGTGTGTACCTTGGCATCTTTTATGAAAATTGTCCCCTTTGACTTTTATTTATTTATTTATTTACTCTGTTCTCATATGAGATTGTTTTCCCCTTGGTATTTTTAGTTGACAAATGCAACTGTTCCTCCCTTTTAATTTAAACAAAAAAGTCTGAAACAATTATCAGCTGCTAGAAATAACACATATCTTTGGAGCCATCAAAACTCTGGCATTAGAAGTTAGTCTACTCCACCCAAATATTTTTCAGGTAAAAACTTTTATTTAGTTTCCACATAGGATAACAGAAAAGCCTAGACTGCCTAATGCACTATTCTTTTTATGGTCATGGAAGCTTTTGCTGCTCCGTAGAACTGAACGTAAGACTCTGCTTGTGAAATACCACTAATTTTACTGGCACAGTTGTTTGTGCCACCATATGGTGAGCTAGTTAGAAATGGTCCAGTTCCCTCACTGGGTAAACACAGAGTTGGCAAAACCATTTGGGGAGGGCGGAAAAATGCATGTGAAACTATGGCCTGAGGAAACCCCTACCGCATCACTTCCACTATAATCCACCTAAAGGTAAATTGCCAAAAGGTGACACTCCTGGCTCAGCTTTCAGGAATTATTTTACATGACAATATAAATGATGTAGGAGCACTATTCGTTTATGTTCATTCACTTTATTTTGAGCAGGATTTTTGGGAATGCTGGACAGGTAAAGTAACTTTTTTTTTTTAAGTTGGGAATCAGTAACTTAATTTTGTATTTCTGTTTTTCTTGCAGTACTGTGTGCAAAAAACTTGGTGAAAAAGGATTTTTTCCGTAAGTAGCTGTTAAAGTTTTATATGTTTATAGATGGGATAAATATTATGCAGGTTCTGTACGTCAGTGTTTGTACACGATCATTGTATTAAGATATTTGCATTCAGGGGGCTGGGGGCTTTAATGTTTTCACACTGTTTTATTTCAGGGCTTCTAATTTTTTCTTAGGTGACGTTCGTCACAGATTCATAATAATAATTAAAACACTGACACACTCTCTCTGTTTTTGATGGGAGTGGGGAACAAATTTACTCTCAGGCAAATTACATGTTTTTCAATTAGCACCACATATTTATTAAAATGTTTTTCACATAAGAACTTTTTGTCCAGCAGACAGATGTACATCGTAATTATTAATAATCATGTCATAATACTTACCTGCTCTGGAATTATATTTTAATTAATTTTAATAATGTTTTGAAAAAAGTGCTAAGAGGTGGATGAAGGAGGCAGAAAGGAATGTTATTGGCTGCGTAGGCATGCACGCACAGATCACCTGCCTGCCGCCTCCCAGTTGGGAGTAGGAAGAATTCAACAGACCAGACCTGAACTTTGAAAAGAACTTGAAGAAGGGATGATACAGAATTATATTGTAATTTGTGATGCTTCTAAAGCTGGCTTTATATCTGGATTTTTGTATTGATTGCAAGTTTTCAGGTGTTTAACAGTTTAATAATGCCTAAAAAACCCCCTCAAGATTTGAAATCTGTGACGTGCTTCTGTACCGAAGCACAAATCTCCCAAGGTCCCATTCCTCCCCTTCCCCATGTGCTTTGCCTTTATCCCCGCGTGCTTTGCCTGACGCTTGTCTTGAACCACTCTGCTGCTTGAGTGGCTCTGTCGTGAGTCACCTGAGGAAGCAGAACTGGTACAAAACATGTGCTACAGAAAATGTGGATAATGTTTCACCACCTTAGTTCCTTCAGCTGACTCACTGGGCACTCGGATGAGGGGAGGAATTAGTATGAGGGGGAAAGGGAGATAGGACCGCATGACTTAGGGGCATTAGTGGTGGGCCCATCCCTTTTGGTGTCAGTGAATAGGTTGGTTAGAATAGCAGTCATGGTAGAGCTAATTGTAGGCTGCTCCCGTCCTGGTCCTGCTGCTTTCCCATCCTCAGCTGTGTAGCCTGGCACCATCTTTGCACTGATTTTTGTGATCAACTGAACCTGTGCTCAGTGTTTCCAGGGTACTAAGCTGGCAGAAAATGAAGTAGAAAGCTAGCAGAAAACAAAGTGGACCTCAAAGGCAAGAATAACCTTTTATAGGTGATTTCCTGTCATACCAATAACAACCAAAATCATGATTGTAATTAATTGTAAAAATAGGAAGAATGTAAATCTGTTTTCTTTGCCTTTTGCTGAATTCTTCATATACTGAGAATTTGCTCAGTCCTGAATTAGGAAGGTCAAGGTGTTCAGATTTCTTTCCCCAATGTGTTTGACTTACACAACTTTTTCTTGATCTGTATCAGTGAAATAATGCTAATTTAGCAATTTCCTGTGCTTAATATGTCATGTTTTCCCCATTCATTACATGAACGGCTCTCATTTATGAATAAACGGCAACTTCAAATAAAGCATATTAAAAAAAAAAAATGTGCAATGATTCGGGACTTTAAAGCATCCTGATCCATTTGCTAGTTTTTTTCTTTTCCTCCTCTTAGGACTTCCTGATCCATTTGCTAAGGTTGTGGTGGACGGATCTGGCCAATGCCATTCTACAGATACTGTGAAGAATACACTTGATCCAAAATGGAATCAGCATTATGACCTGTAGGTGGTAACAGTGATAACCAAAGGTTTGAAGTGAAATCCTCTAAAGTACACAGAAATTGTCAGATGTTCATAATACTGTCCTATTTACAGCTTGGAAAATACCCCAGAGTTTATTAGTTTGAGTAAAAAATACATGTGTCAAAATACCACTTTCTCATTTCCCTGAATCTAAACACTACACTTGTTTTTCTACTGATGTCTGCAGCATGGTTTACGTGTACTATAGCGTTATTTTATTGTAATATTTCCATGTTAACACTTGTGAAAAGTGAAGCAAATACTTGACAATATTTCCCTCAAACTGCTCTTTTCTTCATGCTATTTTGGTCTGTTGCAGTGCTACAGTGTCTTTTCTTCTGTGTGCCTCTTGTTCAGTTTTCTCTCCTTTATGTCATTTTCTGTCCCAAATGTTGTTCTCCCTAGAAATTATTAGGTTGTTATCATCACTTGAGCATCTTTCAGTGCCTTTGAGCAATATAATTGGTATGGCATGTATATGTCGTGTTTTTCCTCTGTCCTTTTAAAGCACAGCATATTCTGTATAATGTAAGTTATTAAAGCTTTTCTTTTTTATATAGGTTTCTTTGTGTTTGTGCATGCTTTATTTTCCCTGTCTTTTATTCTTTTTATTTTTCCTTGGGATGGAAGATGAGGAAGAGACGTGAACAGTTTTGCCTCATTGTATTCTCCTTTCTTTCTAAGGCATTGTTCTGATCTCTGACTTTTTTTCCCATGGTTCCATTCCCTATCTATATTATTAGAAATTGTTTGAGCATAATTACGTTAGCTTTGGACATCACCAAGCCTAGAGCAAATCAAGTATTTGTATACAGAGAATTTCTTGTCCCCCTTTTTCCCAGTGAAGAAAAGCAGCTTGATAGGTCTTTCAGCAGAATGTGGAAGGCCTGGTTTAAAGTGATGTCTTGACCTACTCTTTATTTGAATATCCAAGACTAAATATGTGAAGTCATTGTTCATAATGTTTTAGTGCAGTATACAAAACATTTTCATTACTGCTTAATAAGATATCATTGGTAGTTTAGTGAAATAATAGTGAAATAATAGCACTTTTGCTGAGGAAAGCTATAGTATTATAGTTTTATTATTCAAACTCACTCCCAGCTTAGATTCTGCATGTGAGACTAATTCATATTCATTAGAAAAACAGATATAAAACAAGTTTAAGTTCGTGTGGAAGGAATGGCTCTTTTTCATATCTAAAGAATTCTAAGTTAATTTGATTTTTTTGTAATGTTATTAAGCCTATCAAAATGTTGATTCATATAGAATGCAGATTTCAAACCTCTGCCCTTCCACGCCCTCTCCAAGACTGGCCATCCATTTGTGAAGATCTAGCCTAAACATTTTTTTTCAACAGCAATTAACACTCCATGCCATGTCCTAATGGTGAAATTCAAGAGTAGATTGCATATCTTGCAGCTTGCAGCTAAATGGAAGGCCCCCTTTCTCTCCTGTTTCGACCCCTTTCCCAATCTACTGCATGTGTTCATGCTGCTTCCCTTGCACTGGCTCCGTCTGGCTTCTGGGTAAATGGATTCAATTCACTTAACTGGATAGGGGAAAAAATGTGTGTAATTCTCTGCTGATTAAATGAGTTGCATTGGGTCGTAACGGTGTGCCTGCATTAGCGTGTTAGTGAGTCCCTCGACCATCCCTGCGGGCTGTGTTCTGGCTTCCTGCGTGGAGTGGTCTGAGTCCATGAACCCGACTGCATTGGATGGAGCTGCACCACAAGGTGCATCCCCTGAGCACCACCGATGCTCTCCTGCTGCTGGCAGGAACTGAAGTTGACAGGATCAGACTAGAGCTAAGAAAAATCCCTGAAATGCAAGCACGGATTTGTATTGGGTTTTAGTTAGGTGGGTCCGTTACTGAGCATTAATGCATAGCTTTACAGGGATAAAAGGAGAGTAAGGTGGCAAGTGCTGCCAACGTGACTTGAGTGTAAAGCCTTCCTGTAACCTTTGTACCGCTAGCGAAGGGATACTTTTGAAAGAGGAATGGTGGGCCATCATTTGGCAGTTACCTGCTACTAAATTCTGTGTTGAAAATGTCAACAGTTCCCTGAGTCTTCCCCAGTATCTGCCAGTCGGTCTGTGTTTGAGTACGCGGTTGACAGGAATGGGTTATAAGGGATGCGAAGTGCTCCATGGGCTAATGACCTGGAGACTTTGTTCCCTTCTGGAGAAGAGAAGGAGCAGAGGACATTGGAAATGAGAGAGGATGTTAATATGCAGTGAGAGTGATGGGGGGGGAAAAAAAAAGTAAAATCTTAAGAAAAAAAAATCCTTTCTGGTTATAATTTTTAAGGAAGGATGAAGAGAAAGTGGTTTTATGTTGTTTTATAGATACTGTAGTTAGCTTTGAAGCAAGACTGTGATTGCAGTCCACATCATATTATAAAAAGCAGAGATAGAAATGGGGTTTCTGGCAGAATATTTTGCTCAAGCAGATTTGGGGCATCTCTTATTGCATTGTCCTAAGGAATTTAGACCCGCATGAAACATTTTTCTGTGGTTTGGGTTTTTTTTTGAGGAAGTTACCTAAAAACCCCTAGGTTTTGTTTAGGTAGGATATTATTTTCAATATAAACTACTTGTTGTCTAGGGAATACTACTTTGCTTGATTCTGGCAGTTGAATTCCCTGATGACAGAAGTATACACAGCATTTCTAATCCAAAGTAAAATTTAGCATTATGTCAGGCCTTGTAATTTGAAAATAATCCTCTCCCTCTGAAAATTTTCTTCATAATCATTTAACCTCTTTTATTGTCTTGCCTGTTATTCCTTGCTCTATGGAGATTTATTTCCATTTGTAAACATCAGTCACCTAGTCTTCGGTTCCTATTTAAAACAGCAGTAAAGATTAGATCTCTCTGATACAACTCCTCACTGCCTGGCTTTTATCTTAAGGTAACTTTTAATTGTAATATACCCGGTGTCAGATCTCAGCTTTTCATCTGTACCAGATATTAAGATAATTAACTCTTACTTTTGGGGAAAAAAAAAAAATAGAAAAGTAATAGGAATAGTAACCATCTTACTGCTAAGCACCTGATGGCAAACCTCATAGATTACAGGACTAATCTTTCTTCTCATCCTTTGAAAATAATTGTTTTTTTAAACTTCCTAATGTTTACCCTAACAACACACCATTGCATGGGAACGCTAGCCTCTGCCTTATGACGCTTCCACTGCTGCAGGAAATGCTTTGCACACCAAGCATAACAGATGGAGCCTCGGTGGCAGCTTGCCTGCTCCTGCCACCACGCAGCCTAGGCAATCAACCAGAGGAAGGTACAGTTACGGAGAATTTTTTAAAAGGAAAATCCTGCTTTTTTTTTTCCTGCCATGAAGATTTCTGTTGGTTTTTGAATGACTGTAATAGGCTTGTGTGCAGTAAAACTGTCTCTTGGCTGTGTTGGGTTGATTGAAGTGTCCCCAGTCTGGAATGTGTGTAACAGGTTAACACTGCTGCTGATTAACAGTCTCATGTATCATGTGATGGCATATGCAAATGGCACAGTAAGATGGATCTGTTGTGATATATTTATGCAATAATGTCTGAATTAAGTTGCTAATTCCAAGAGAATTTTGTGGCTTGCTAACCTGATTCAGTATAATAGATGTTCTGTGGTATAAGATTTTTTTGAAAAGACTTCTGCAGTGTTGTAAAGAACAAAAAAGGTTTTGCTTCTGCCTTAATTCAGATCTTAGCATGAAAGGAAGCAGTTGAATTAGTTGCTTAGATTCTTCAGCCTAGATGGGTGTGTGTAGGGGGTGGGGGGGAATCTGGGAGGCTTTCCAGAAAGAAATTGCCAAATAGTTGCTGTCTGGATGCAGTTTAATGTCAGTAAAATACCACGCTTGCCCTGGATGTATTCCCCTTCCTTATTTTCAGTCTTGTTTGTGTTTTCCCTATTGTTCAGGCCTTTCCTCAAAGCTTTGAATAATCAGAGTTAACACATTGACAGACCTTCTCGCATTCAAATCATTTAAATGCTACCTAAACCGGCGGTTCTGAAACTTAACAAATCCCCTTTTTCTCTTCCTTCCCCTTTCTTCCGTTCTGCGATAGCCTAGAGCTCCTACAGCCTTCCCACGCTCACCTGAGCCCTCTGGCCTACTGCAGCCCTCCCCAGCAGCCTCTGCCCTTAAGGCATAGCAAGTCATATGGTCTGTTTATCTCTAAAAGATGTTTGTACCATCATCTCCACCAAAACCTAGTCCTGGTCCCATCTTAACTCTGTGCCCTTCAAATCTGCACCCCCGGGCTCTAGCACAGACTCGCTGCTCTCCTTTGTTTTACCTCTCAAATGTAACCTCACCCAACTTCTGCAACTCCTCCTCTTCCCGAAACCTCCGCACTGCAGCTTCTAGTGCTGTTTGGTGCCTTCACATTCTCAAGCCCCTGCACTGCCCTGGCAGAATTGCCTTTCTCCCCCAGCCCTCCAACTCTACTTTGCCTAGTTAATTGCTAATGATCCTGGTTTTTTTCTCTGGGAGAGAAGGCAACGGCTCTGCTTACTGCTGGTTTAGACACTCCCACACTAGATTAGACTCCTGAAGAGCCGTCAAACAGCTCCTTGCAACAGCTTTGCCTTCTTGACATGGTTGTTTAGACCAGTTTGATGAAGCTGATGCCCTTTGCATTTAGGGTGAAAGCATTTCTGGGTCGTGTTTGGCCCGTATCGGCAGATCTGGCCATTCCAGGTCAAGCACATCAGGCGTACAAGTCTTTGCTGAACTTCTTAGGTGGGTCTGTTAGGAACATCTGGAGTAGAAGCCCACTTTGCTTGCTGTTTGCTTGGTGCGGCTGCTTTTACAGTGTCTTGTAGGCTCAGCTCAACGTTGGGCTGGTAGCACTGGGGATGAGAAGGGAGCAGCCAGCCAGTGCCACGTGTCTATGCTGTGTTCCTGTCTAAGCCACAGCCTCTGGCTGTTTCTCTTCTCACCGTCCCAGAGGCTCAAACACCCTTCAGTTGCTACCAGAGATGAGAGCAATGTCAGGGTGAAGGAAAAGAGAAGAGAAAAAATTGGGATGATATTTTTCATTATGTCTCTTTGCACCCTCTTCTCCCCCAGTCTGAAAACAGCTGATATCTCAAAGCATAACGCTACCATTATATTAGAAAAAATTCAGAAATGGGAAAATGGAGAAACAAACTAATTTGTCCAGGTCGTAAAAAGAGTCTGTGTGACAGCATGGATTAGAAATAGGGAATTCCTGGCTTCCAAGCCTGAGTTCATACCTCTTGATGTTGCATTTTTCTCTCTTTCTGGAGGGAGTACATCTGGCTTCTGATCGGGAAGAGGTGTGTTTCTTCAGGAATATTTCCCCCCCCCCCCCCCCCCTAATTCCCCCCCCCCCCCCCCACTTTCTTCATTCCGCTTTTTTCTACCAACCTGAACTCCTCAGTGTACATAATGCCATGGGGATGAAAAGTCACTTGATACCAAACCTTCCTGAGCGGTATATTGGTTCAGAAGGAAGTACCGCCTTGGCAAAGGTAATTTCATTTAGACAAAGTAACAATTGTCCCTGTGTTTTAAAATTTGATTAAAATATTTTAGAAGTTTCCAGTATGGCATGTACTTGATTTTTGTTTAGAAGTGGAAGTGCTAAGAGTAGGCATTTTTCTTAAAATTTCCAAGCATGCAGTTCTTATCCAGAGCCCTAATTTTACAGATTCAGGAAATGAGGGAGTTAACAAAATGTATATGGAAATTGAATTTCCAGGTTTCCACGTTGTTGTCTCTGTTGAAGTACTGAAGCTGTGAAATACATATTGCTTGATAGGGTTGGTATAGAATAAAATACATATTGCTGATAGGGTTAAAAAAAAAAAAAAAAGCTCCAAGAACTTTATGAGGAGGAAGAGAGAGGCATCCAACAAAATGGGGGGTTTGTGTTTTTTGTTTCTGTTTGTTTTTGTTTTTAAAACTTATTCACTTTATTTTTTGGAACATTCTTTTTTAATAACAAATAAAATTCCTAGCTCAGGCTTTTATGTTGGAACTTTATTGCCAGATGATGTAAAACAAATGTAACTTACCCACCAAATGAATTGGAAATGTCAACTTGTCCTACCGTCGCTCTCTAAATGCAACCATGTATTTTCATGCCTGAAATTATGCAGAAATATAGATGAAACATTTTGCTGTAAAGCCAACTAGCAGTTACTGAACTATTTCTTTTCTTCCTTTGGAAAAAAAAAATGACGTTTTTATTTGGAAAATGCAGCTTGTCTTGCTTATTTCCTTTAAATGTGTGGATCAGCCAGGTTTTCTGGTGCAGGAATCAGAGTAGGTTATAGTAGTAATACAGAAGTCCTCACCTGTTTGGTATGGATGGCTTACTGTCTGCATCTCAACCCTGAGAACCTCACCCTGAAATGTTACAGTCATTCTTGGAAACTGTGTTGTATATTCAGCTGTTCTACATATTATTCAAACTGTTCTGTTATGAAATTGTGTTTAACCATATACCTTTGACTTTTTTAAAGCAACAAGGAAAACTGGAAAATTCAAGACAGGTCATGCTAAGTCTTTATTTTTAAGTGCACCTAACGTGTTCTCATAAGAATTTATTTTAAGTACATGAAACATTGTAGACTGCAACTGTGCACGTGAATACCCATCTTCATCTCTTGTTTCTTTATGCAAAATTGGCATTGTCAAGGTTGTAAGGCCAAAAATCTGACCTATATTATGCAATCAGTTTACTATTCAAAAAACTTCGGGTTTTTTTTTTTTGTGTGGAGTTTGTGTTTTGTTTGGTTTGGTTGTTTGGGGTTTTTTTAATGTGCACTGGTTATTTTAAACCGTGCTCATGGGTATGTGCCTACAGTTAAGCTTTTCTGTCTTCTACTTCTTGGGTCAGTCCCTGTCTGCAGGTGGGAAAAAGAAGTTGTCAAAGTTCTGCTTTTTGGAAATGGAAAAATGGGAGAAGTGTTAATTGAGAACTTACCTGATCACAGCTGCAATTTTAAGCCATGACAGTTAGCTCAATTGTTTGGTTTGCCAACCTTGACAGTATCATTCTATCTTTATGAAAATACTAAGATGTTTTAAAGCCGATAAAGTCTCAGTCAATGGGGGAGATGTATTTAGACATTGGTTGAGTTTGTTTAATCAGTTTTCCTTCAAAAAACAAACAAAAAAGCAATTGGAACTAAACTGCAGAAGGACAGAATTGTGGTCTGGGAAGGGAGAACTACAAGCAGTTCTTGGGATCTAAGCCATAGTTACAAATTAATTTTCCTCAACTTGAAGCAACTATAATAATTCAGTATTGGCAATAGCTGATTTATCTTGGGTGTTTTGAAATTTTCCTCTGAAAGGTTTGAAAACAAAAACTAGCTCACAAAGTAATTGCTTCTGAAGAACAAAGCTTCAAACAAAAAAGCAAAAATAAAGTAGCCTGCAGCGTCCAGGTTTCCCGAAGTGGGTGAGGTGCAGATGTAGGTTTTGCAAAGCATTTCCGTGGTAATGCTGCGAGGGGGCAAGAGGGGAATGTGGCACATCTCGACTAAGATACTGTATGAACTTTTTGTAATGGGTCACATTCGTAATATGTAATGTATGTTATAAACGGGGCCTTTCTGAAACTTTCTTAATAGTAAATTAGCTTCCCAGAGATTTGTTAACTGCAGATGTGTAACTAGGTTTGCCTTATCTTTTCCCTGAGCGCTCAGAAGAGCTCTAAGTGAGGGTGACTTGCATCGCCGGTGGTTGGAAGAGTAGCCTGAAAAGCAGCGGCAGATGAAGTGCTGCAAAAGGATGCTAAACTGCTAGTTTCTGCTGGCATTTGAACCGATTGCTAGCGCTGCTCACGAACACATGCTGCCACAAGCATTGCCATTCTCTTTGGTTAGGCTGAGCAGAGGCATGAATCTAAGCATGTTTGTAGCTGCTTGAAGAGATGTGGTCACCGGGCCAGCCCGCAGCCTGTTCATGTTACTGTTTTAAACAGATTTCAGTAGACTTTGGATTCACATGAATGCCTTCTTCCAGAATCAGGATTTTAGATTAGTTTGTATTCAAGTAAACTCCTTCATAAGTCATGCTTTCATTAAAGTATAATGTGTACCTCTTCTCTGAAGATGACTTACTCTCTCTTGCTGATACAGTGTGTGTTGAATTTTTAATGTAATGGTTGATAGTCTTTTTTTTCCCCAAGATGATTTCTGGAGCATCTTCAAAGTATTCAGTAAGTGCCATTCACAGTACTGTTTTTCCACATTTTTCAGATATATTGGGAAGTCGGATTCAATAACAATCAGTGTGTGGAATCACAAGAAAATTCATAAAAAGCAGGGAGCTGGTTTTCTGGGTTGTGTGAGACTTCTTTCAAATGCAATCAACCGCCTTAAAGACACTGGTTGTAAGTAAGCTAAAGACTAGAGTTTCTTCTCTTTCAGACCAAACTTTTATGCACAGACTTTTGAAGAGTGACAATTCAATTGGGTTTTTGTTGGTTTTTATAAAGCTTATACATTCAAATTAGTTTGGTAGTTTGTAACAGTGTTTTGTGGCTGAGGATAGCAAGAGTAGGTTAGAGAAATGTAACTTGCCTTTGGCTTTTCGACTCCTTTGCCCCGTTACCGTAGACAGTGGTAACTTCAGTGCCGCAGTCTGGTTGTGGGTGGTCAAGACTGAACTTACTGTGTTGGAATTCCAAAGGAAGACAGATTCTAATTACCTTCAAATTATCTTTTTATTACCTTCAAAAATGCAGGCCTGAAAGGGTAAATCTATCTTGAAGCCAAATTTGTAATTTAATATTGAAGGCCCATTAATTTTTTTTTATTAAATTTTGTCATAAGATATTGAGTGCTTCGTGACACTTCAAGCACTTTGTATTTACTTTTGAAAAAGTTAATCGACATGTAAGATGCTGTTTTCCCATTATCCTAGTGGGTGCCATTTCCTTCTGGACAAAATCTGGTGCACTGTTTGTGATAGAAAAGTAGTGCTTGGCTATAGTGATAATTTAAAGAAAAAAGAAGAAAGTGACATGCTGGTAGAGAAGCACTGGGCTTTTACCTTCAATAACCTCGGTGATAAAGACATAACTGAAGTTCTTGTTTCTAAATATTTGTCGCTACATGAGTGCTTCAGTGCATTGTGCTTTGCTCAGTTTTAGGAAGTTCTACCTATTCAGTGGGGAACACGTGGATTGATGCTGCAGGTTAGCTCTGTGCTGTCCTAATGACAGCGTTGAACTGGAAGTGCGCTATGACAATGGCTAGCCTTCACAAGGGAAGAGAGTTCAAAATACTTCTTAAAATCACTTGAGACATCTAGTCTAGGATAATGTCATTTCCTAATCATCAAAAGAGCTTTGTGAAATAGGAAAACTGTTAAAGCGAAAGTGCTCTAGTCTTGTTTTCTGAATTAAAATTACAAAAAATGAAGTCTTGGCTGGAGATTTTTAGTTTTGCTTCCTTTCCCCCATCTCTTGAAGTCTTAACTGTCTTCCACTAGGCTGGATTTTGCTCTGACGGTACTTCAGTGTGCCTTTCAAAGGCACCAAAATATTGTATGACTTACGCTTTGTGTCCTTGTTTTGTAGATCAGAGATTGGATCTGTGCAAGCTTGGGCCAAATGACAATGATACTGTTAGAGGACAGATAGTAGGTAAGTAAGGGGTTTTATCTTTTAGTTCTCTTGGAGTTTAACAGCAGCTATAGAAATACCCTTCCTAGATGTCAGTTTTCTGTATTGAATTTTTTTTTTTTTTTCAAATTCAGTGTCTAGTGCCAGCGCCGTTTGGACCTCAAGAACACCAAACCAAACCAAAAAAACCCCAAACCCCCCCCCCCCCCCCAAATGTTATTGTAAGTGTTGGGACAGATAAGACCATAGATCATACGAAACTTATTTAGAAAGTTTTAAATTTTGCTGTAAAGAATGGTGTCGGTTTGAGCCTGAACTCCCTGTCAAAAACTGACTACGAATTTCTTGGCCATTGAGAGTTCCAGCAAAGCTGTGCTTCCTGTAGCTTTTGCGAAAGGGTAAAACATCTTGCTGTAACAGGAGAGTTGCTGCCTGGGATGACTTGGTCGATTCATTTTGTGTTTTCATGGGTTATTAACAAGTCTGTCACCAGTCTCGGTAACTGTGCTTTGTCATTCTGCTAACTCATAAACCTTAAATAACTTCAGAATTAAAAAGAAGCTGGCAAATGGAAAAACAAGTATCCACAAACAACTTCATAAACGCTCTCTTTTTGGTGCATTGTAAGTTGTTTTGGAAGGCAGCATTTCTAGTAGGTCACTTAAGTAAAAAAAAAAAAAAAGTTGGTCAGGGTAAGGAGGTCTTTATTTTTATGGCAAAATGTTAATGAGAATATTTGGACGTGGGGGAAAGAAAAGTGAATTTGCATGCTCAGTTTTATGTTCAGTTCCTAGTTCAAATAATATCCAAGCAGCATTCTTGTTTTGTCAGCCAGGGAAAACTATTGAAATACCAGTCAGCAAATAAGGGCTTCCGTGCATTTGTTTGCTTTCCTCAAAGTGCTCTGTTGTAGAATACCTCTGACTTTACCTCTCTATGCTGCTTTAACCATCTGTCTAGCCTCTGATCTGCAAGTGTTTGCATAGTATTAAGATAAGACTGAGGTGGCACAGCAGAGTCAAATGATGGTAGAAATGTGGAGACGTAAGCGCATTGCCAACACTTCAGACCGTTCTTGAATATTAATTTTTCCATGTGAGCTTGCACAGAAGAGTAAAGGATAAAACAGTCACTTTTCTAGGGTGCATTATGTTGTCAGTTTGGTTTGCTTTTTGGTTTTGCTTCAGTATACTCTTCCTCTGATGGTTCATGCTGTATGCATGCGATTTTGTTTGTGGGGTTCATTTTAAGAGGAAACTGAGCTCAACTGACAGGAGAGCTTGTTGGGAGTCTGCTCCAGGCAGCAGAGATCCACTCTGCCCGAAGCAGTCCTTCAGAGGTGACGCTAGCAGGGACTGTACCCTCGCACCACGACATGCTCTCATGCTGCCCTCCAGAGTATGCTGCTTGTCATCATGACTTGAGAATGCTAGCATTAATTAAACAAGCAAAAAAAAAAAACAAAACCCAAAACCCCGCCCCGAAGCAGAAAGGTCTCAAGGCTGTTGGGATGCCAGATGGGAAGCCTGGGGCAAATACCGTGCAGCGTGGGTATGGCAAATACGCTTCAGAGGTAACTAGTTGGCAGAGATAACTAGTCAGCAGTGTGGGCATAAACTAGACTGACCAGTTGGCTTAACCTGATACAATCATGAAAAGTGGTATAGCCAAAGCAGCATTAACTCTTTTGGCATGCTGCTGGGGCTGTCCCAAATTAGCAGGATGGATCATGCATTGAACTTAGAAAAAAAACAGTTTGTCATGTTACAGTGGAGACTGAGAACAAATCTGTATGTTCTGCTTTGCACTGTTATCATCAGAAAGGTCAGGTTTCCTCAGTCATGGCTGTGTTTTAATGCATCCTTGGTAAGATTCCAGAGACTCCCTTTTTTTTTTTTTTTAATTGAAATTGTCATTATTAATCTCCTTATATTTTAATCTTTTTTCACTAATGCAGTTTTGTTCAATGGGTGAATGAGCCTAAGTAAAACTAAATAATTCCGCTGCAGTAGTTACATGGTGAAGGAATCTTGATTAAAAATAAGTAAGAAGATAGAATAAGTTATAAATATACTCTCAGTCCTTCTGATGATAAACTGGCTTAAATTAAGAGGCTATGCAAGATTGGAAAAGAATATTAAAATGTAATTGAGACCTTTGGCAGATGATAACCTTACAAATCAAGTGCAGAGTGGGTATGCCTTTATAATTTGGGACAGGGCGCAAGGGGATCTTTATCTTAAATACCTGGGGTTATCTTCAAAGGGGGGGAAGAAAAGGGGACACTTGTGAGTAGTGGATGCAAAGGGCACCTGAACTGTGTCTTAATCTTGCAGCTCTCTTCTGTGCCACCATTTTATTTCTGATGTGGCGGTGCAGAAAAAATGAGTCCTTACTCATTACAAAATGAAGCCGTGCACAAATTTTGCTCCTCACATAGGCAAAAAGGAGGTAATTGCCTTTGTTTAGTTTCATTTTTGTCTGTGTGTATTGCTTGCCAAACCTTGCCTACATGCAGCAATGTGAACTCGTAATGTGTGGGTTTGTTGCAGAGTAAAGAGATCATCTACAATTTTGTTTTGGCTGAAATTAAATTTAAGGTGTCTTTCGCTGTAAGAAGTTGCTTTTTAATATTAAAGTGTTCGTGGAGGACGAGGAGCTAATACTGATTAGGAATAAAGCAGGCAGGACCTGCAGGGCTCCCTGGGTTGGGCTGTTGAAGGCCCAAAATCCTGAGCTTCAAAACATGTTGTTGTTGTTGAAAACTTGCACTCTCTAGCAAAAATTGCCAGTACTACTACATGTTTTTGTAACTTTGTGATGTTGACAAAAGTTCGGTTGTGTCTAGATTAAGGTCTGTAAGTTTATTTCGCTTCGTAGGACTTGAAGACAATTGTCCAGAAGTACAGTAGTGCCACCTCAAGAAATGTGTGCCACAGCACGTATCTAGCTTTTTAAGTAGTCGTTTTATTGTTAAAGGCAAAACAAAACATCAGAAAAAAACCCCAACCCCACAGGAACACAAGTGTCATAAATTATCAGATTAGACACTTGCAAATTATGATACTGGGAACAAAAGCTGCCCAAAAAAATCTTTGTTTTCATAATTGTAGTACAAAAGCTTCAGGCATAAATATCCATTACAATGAAACATGTAAAAGATAAAAATTAAATGAAACAAATGAAACAAAAGTAATACAGTTCTGCTGTGGGCTGTAAGGGCTTTTCAGGGTGCTGAGTGCTGCTTTGTGTGAGAGTTGCATTTAACTTCTTACCACTGGTGTTTGAAAGTAGTCAATAAACCAAACGTGTAGTGCTTCTAGCAGCTAAGTTTTGCTTGGTTTTGCGTGTGCACGTGTACGTGCGTGTGTTGAATCCAAGCGTGCACAAAATACATAAAGAGGAGTCAAAAACATAGAGGAATTTCTTATTTTAGGTCTTTCTATTAGCAGTTCTCCCGTTAGCAGAGCAAGCCTGGCGCTAGCAGTGACCCACTTGCTCTCCCAGCCACGCGTGGGGCTCGCTGCCCTGCCACCGCCAGGCGAGCCACGCAGCTCCGCTGTGTCGCCGTCCGTCTCATACGGAGAAAAGTTAATGACAGCTTCAGAGTTAACTTCTTTTCCTGCCCTAACTTGCTTTCACATTCTCCAAGCTAGCTTTTTTGAAGTAATATGTAGAGAATTATATGTATGAAAACATACTCTGTTTCTTTATAACTTTCTTTGATTTGTGGGAAGGGAAAAAATGTCCAGAACATGCAGCTTAGTCCTCCAAGTTGTACCATTTCTCTTTCAAATATTACTGTAATTTGCATTCAGATGTCATATCTTTAATAATTCTTTTATTATCTTAATAGTAAGTCTTCAGTCCAGAGACCGAATAGGCACAGGAGGACAAGTTGTGGATTGCAGTCGGTTATTTGATAATGATTTACCAGATGGGTAAGCTGACATCACTGTGGTGTAAATACAATTACAGCTCATACAACAGACTTCTGCAGTAATGAGAAGTCACTGTACAAATAGGTTAATTTATTTTTATTCTCGCACTCAGAGTTTTACAGTTTTGAATTTAGGAGCAGGAGATAAGCCAGCCAGGCTACACAGAATAGTTAATAGTTTGACCCTTGTCTTGTCTCCTCTTGGAAAACGGGAGGTGGCATATATGAGTAAATGCATTAAAAAATATACTTGTCTAAGAAAACATACGTCTTTCAAATTATAGAACTGATAAACTAATATAATGTTAAATCACAGCCAGCAAATTGACTTCATCCATATAGTAGATCTGTAGCAAGGTAATGAACACACAGGCCTGGCTGTCTTCTGCAGCACTGTGCAGAAGTATACACTATTATAAAAATGGATTACTTTTTCTTCCATGTAAATCATAGTGAAGAAAACGTGATTGGAAAGGGTAATGAAGCCTGAGTTCTTGCTGTATTTATCTGGCAAAAGCTGGGTTTAGGATTTTGATTTGTCCCTGTGAGAGTTAATGACATCATTAACACCTAAAACAGTTTTGCGAATACAGAAAAATGCTCTGTTTTAGGTTCTGGTGCTGTCATCAACTTTTTCAGAGCAAACACAGACCTTCTCAATGTGATTCTTGGCAGGTAAAGACAGGAGAAACTGATTTTTCAGATGATGAATTTTAAAACATAAATTATCATCTAAGTCCTAAACAGCATTCTTTTGTTAATTTGGAGTCTGAAGAAGTCAAAAACATTTTTGAAAATGCTTTTAAATGTTCACTTCAAAGTGTTCTTTTTGTAAATATTGCTTACTTAATTGTGTAACTGCAAAGCTATCTGTATAGCCTCATGTATTTTGGAGCACAAAAGTAATAATAATTAAAAAGTCATGTTATTTGAAGGTGACTTTTTAATGAAAGCAAGTAGTGCGTGAAGATACTATGAAAGCACCTACTAGGATCAGTGGTCAAAAAAGGTTAAATGCATTATTAAACGTCATGTTTTCAAGAAGTTTCTTTATATGGCTATTTGGATTTAATTAGAATTCAAATAGTTATTGAACATGAAGGTGTGATATTGTTAATGATATGCCTGGTTCCAAGGGAAGAATATGTAAAATCAATTTTGAGTTGAACATATAGTTGTTTCCTGTTACTTGTTCAGCTAACATGATTCATAATAGTGTAAGTCTTCCTGAGTTGGCATTTATGTTGGAAACATTTTGTGCCCTGGTTTCCTGGAAATACCACTCATTGCCTTATCTCTCAATGTCTGAAATCTAGGTGGGAGGAGCGGAGGACTGCTTCTGGAAGGATCCAGTATTTAAATCATATTACACGAACAACTCAGTGGGAGCGACCAACACGGTAAGAAATTATTTTGGAGACTGTGCATGTGATGAAGTTTGCTTGCTGACCAGGGGTACTGAGCACAAGCAATTGTAAGTGGCTCTAACGGGGGATATTCAGCATTCCTCCGAGTCACTCAACAAATGCTGTGTGCTTTTCTTCTCTAACATCCTGCTCCTTCAATCTGCCTAATATTTAATTCAGAAGAATCATTCTGACTAGATTTTTTTTTTCCCTCCCCTAATACTAGCATCTTTGTTTTCTTGTAGAGCTGCTATGGTAGAACTCTATAAATGCAGACATTAGAATGTGCAGATGTCGTAAGGGATGAAGAAAAAAGATCACGAATAGCTGATGGACATTGTCTGTGTACATGCTATGACCATGTAACCCAGAACTTTTAAAGCTGATTGTTACAGAGCATGTTTTGAAATCATTATGATCACGTTTTCTAATAACCATAGATGTGTGTTGCAAAGCTGTTCCTCAAACCAGTTTTGCTGTTACCTGAATTGTAGACAGTGTCAGCGCATATTTTTCAGACTCTTCTGCAGACTGTCTGTGCCTGCACACTGTCTCTTCCACTCTCAATAAATATTATTCCAGTCTCTGTATGGATATATTTGAGTTAAAATAATCTGTACTGGTAACGCTGCCAGCTCTGATATATATTGCGGTTTTTAAGTGAGTGGAGGTACCGAACAGCTTTTTAATTGATCCATCTGTATTTTTCCTGGTATGTTAAAATACTTATTCTAAGCTCTAGGCACATTTACGGTAGAAAAACAAATGCAAAATACATAATTTGTTTCGGGGATTTCCTGCATCCTTATCAATCCCCCTTTTAACGTATTTTAAATCCTTTTGAAAGCAGCATTGAGATATGAAACCACATAATTCAGTGTTTCCTCTTGCAGTCAAGCTCTTAAGAGCAACTGTTTTTTATCTTAGCCCTTTTTCACCATCTTCGCCTAATAACCTTCCTTAAAAATTAAAAGGAATAACAAGACCTGATCCCTTCCTTAGCCGTATGAAGACAAGGTGAGAAAGTTTGGGCGGCATGCTGCTCATTTAAAAAAAAAAAAAAAAAAAAAAAAAAAAGTTTGCTCTCAGCACTCTGTTTAAGGTGGGAACTGCTCACGTGAGCATCTGATATGATCTTGATCCTGCAGTATCATATCCTAAGTGTCAGGTCAGACCCTAAGATAGGTGAGGAGGTTTACTAATTACTCTGGGGTGAACCCAGCAAGTGCAGAACAGAAGCTTTCTGCCCATGGCTGAGGTATCCTGCTCAAAAAGTCAGCTGCTCAGTTCTGCTGTCCACAAAGATTTCCCGAGAGCCCCTAAATGAAGCTTCCATAAAGCACGTTGCGTAGCCCTGTGTCCAGTCAGCAATGCAATTTTCATGTTTTTCCCCGCAGGCCAGCATCTGAATACTCCAGTCCAGGCAGACCCCTGAGCTGTTTTGTGGATGAGAACACTCCAATTACAGGAACGAACGGTGCGACCTGCGGGCAGTCGTCAGATCCCCGGCTGGCGGAGAGGAGAGTCAGGTCACAGAGGCACAGAAATTACATGAGCAGGACACACTTGCACACTCCTCCCGATTTACCTGAAGGATATGGTATGCAAATTAAAATTTTCTTAATTGTAGGTCTCCCAAGAAACTGGGAAAATGGGTTGTGTCTTCTCCTCGTATGTAAGATTCTTTTGATTCCTTAGTTTGGGGAAATCAGTCTTTGAGGTTTTTTATTGCTTTTTTTTTTTTTATTCTTATAGTTATTAATTAATGTTGATTTCACAGAGCAAAGGACGACTCAGCAAGGTCAGGTCTATTTTCTGCATACTCAGACTGGTGTTAGCACGTGGCACGATCCAAGAGTACCTAGGTAAGAAAACGATGAAGGTATCCTTAAGGTGTCAAATCAAAATAGTTTAATCAGTACTGTCCTCAGAATTCTCTGTCTGATATTATATTTCTGACTCTGTCCCTAATATAGCATTTCAACAAGTCAGTCATCAAAATAAATTAGTCTTTCTTCCTTAGTTCTTCAAATTGTTATTTTAATGCAAAGATGGAGAATCAAGAAATAAATTACAGTGGTGTTTTGAAAACAGGTATAGTTAACTGATTCTAGATCTTGCATATGAATTATAGCCAAGTCCAGGTTTTAATACTCTGCAAAATAGTGACACAAAAAGAGGGTTCTGCGCACTTCATAAAATCTAGATTTATCGAGATACTTCAGTGAAAACTGGGTTAGTTTTGTTTTTTAATTCAGGCTCTGGAAGTTAACAAGGGAGGCCTGAGAAATTGGCAGCATACATTTATGAAGAACAAACTTTTTGAGAAATAGGCTAGACAAATGTGATAATTTTTGATAGAAGAGCAGACAAAGGGGAAAACCTGGAAAATCTACTGGATGCCTCTTGTATGTTTAGACACACTATTTGTAGTGAACTACAGTCTCATCATTGAGTTAGCTTAAATTTACTTGTGTGTGAGAATTATTGTCCAATGTTCAGACTACCAAACGTAATTTACTCAAGGAATGGGAAACTTGGTACATTTTGAAGAAACTAATTGGAGACACTGGGTCATAAAAAGCCTGGAAGCTGAAATGGCGAGCTGTGTTTGAAGTGCCAGCATGTTGGGCCTTTTTAAAAAAATGGGGGATTTATAATGCTCTAACACGGATGTTCCTAGAGCAACCGTATATGCTTTCAAGCATCTCATTAGCAGCATATAAATGGGGAAGAATTTGGGGGAGAGGGGCAGATGGGTAGAGAAGCTGAGAGAGACTGACCCGTGATTAAAATACTCAAACTGCCATTTCTGTTGCGGCTATCTCAACACTTACGAGAAAATAAATATGAAGAGTCCTTTCAGTTTAGTGTCTTTATTTACACAATACACACGTGTACATGTTGTACATGATTGTACATGTGATTATTTCTGATGTGTTTGAGAGGCAAGAAGGATAACAGGGAAATTATTGTTAGCTTCTGATCGTTCTTTAAAAAAAAAAAAACAAGAAATCCTGTTGAAAATGATTGCCTCCTAGAGTCTGTGGGTGGTGTTATAAAATAGTGTGTGTAGTTTGAAATTGGCAGCCAGTATTGGCATTTATGAGAATTGTAGCAACTTTGTCAGTTGCTGCTCGTGTTCATTCCCATGGAAATGGATTTTGGATATCCCGGGAAGGATGAAGTGCCTCATGGCCATAAGTTCTGATTCTTCTATTTTTTTTATTATTTTTTTTAATTTTTATTACTACTCTTGTGTTAACAAGAATATACTTTGCTTTGATGCATTATCTGTATACTTCAGAGTGGGATACAGCTGGCAGTTGTGCATTTAGAAGCCTTTGCTCCCATGACTTGTGTATTACACAAAACTAGAAACTAGACTTCTCTCAAAAAAAATTATGTTAAGATCTAATCCTTAGGCTTGCAGTGTAATAGTTTTGTACAAAATCTAAGTTAGCACTTCTCTTAGGTGTGGCAACAGAGACTGTACGAGTATGAGAACAAAATTTGGCTGTTTGCATGAGGATAGAGTTTATGTCATTTCAAAGGAATATTGTATTTTTACACTAATATGCCGCAGTCATTTACTTAATAAAAATAAGCCCTGCAGTTCAGCAGCAGTGTGTATATGGGTAATATCAGCAGAAGTTCAATCCCAGATCCTTGTATCTCCATTAGCAGCTTCTCAGCCTTTTGAGTCCTTGCAGACAGCATCTTTTTAGCCATTCTGCCCCTCGGCTCTTTCCTCCCCTCAACTTGCATCATACTGGGAGATCTGAAGACTTATACCTGTAAAAGGAGCTGCACTTGGCAGTGTGAGGTATCTGAGGTGTGAATGGTATACATGAACAATCAGTAAGTGTCCATTTTTGAAGACTGCTATTTGTTTTCAGTGAACCTCTGAATGAATCTACATCTTCCTAATTTCAGCAGAATTTTCTTGAGACCCTCTGCGTTGCTCATTGCAGAGCTGAGTCATTGTTCGTGTAATATTTTATTCGAAGTATTTTGTTAGAGGGCTGTTTGCTTCCCACTAGCACTTGGGGTTTTGGGGCAAAACCGCCTGTGGCACACACATGTATCCCATGCGTAATTCTTCATGGAAAGTATAACTCTTCAGAAATATAGTTTTGTTTTGTAGGAGGTTTTAAAGTGTGATTCAGAGTTCCTTACATGACTAATGTTTTAAAAATGTTTTCTGTCAGAATTGGTGTAGAACTGCAGTTCCATTTTGGCAAATATGGCAATGGTCTTTATTTTTGTTTTAAGCCTGTATTAATTTAACATCTGAAGTTAGTTTGTAAAAATGAAGGTTATTTGATAAGAATTTTTTTTCCCCGCGGCATGTGTTCTGGGATGTGTGTTTTTTCTTTGGTGGGCTTGCACCTTGGGAGTAGAGATTCCAGCTGAACAGATCAAGTTTCTGAAACAATACATTTTCTCAGACTTCATGGAATTGTTCTGTTACATTCACGCTTGTTTGGCTCAGAGGCCAAATGCTGAGGTATTTTTCATTTTATATTTGTTTTCACAGGGATCTTAGCAACATCAATTGTGAAGAGCTTGGTCCCCTGCCTCCTGGATGGGAGATCCGAAATACAGCAACAGGCAGAGTTTATTTTGTTGACCATAACAACAGAACAACGCAGTTTACAGATCCACGGCTATCTGCTAACTTGCATTTAGTCTTAAAGTAAGTCTAAAGTCTCCAGCACATGGTGAGTGTAATAGAGGAAAGAAAGTGACTCTTGAGGGGTGCTCGGTTTTATATCAAGATGTATTCTGCCATTCGGTAGTATTTAAAGGAAAGTAGCGGTGTTCTTTAACACACGACCAACTTACTCTGTTACATAGCAAAGACAGGTTTGATTGTTCTTGAAAAAAATAAAAATCCCTAGCAGCATTTAGGCAGGAATGTGGCTATTGTGATGCCAGGAGCTGGGGGCAGCAGGGGGGGAAGCAAGTGCTGTCCGGGTAAAAGACTGGGCCATAAAATTTTTTTCTAATGGCAAGAGAGACACTTTCTTTCCTTTTCTTTATAGTCATGCTACTTTCAGTTACGGACTACTTGTTTTAAAACATGAGGTTGCATTCAATAGCCAGTGGTATGAAACACTGATGCGTTAAGGAAGGGTGCGCAAGTGCCCAGCTATTCTCCTGGAATAAAGGAGAAATAATTCAGCTTCTGTCTTCAATTTTAGAGTAAGACTAGTTGAGATGTTCTCAAAATAAGACCCCAATAATTTAACTCGGATTTTTTACCGAAAGAATAAAATAAAATAGGAACTGTATTTTTTCTGCATTAGTGTTCTGATATCACATTTCAATATTGCCCTTCTAAAAAGAGAAGGGGAAACTCAGAAGGATTCTGGCTCTTGTTTGTATTCCCTGAGCACTCATTTCACACTGGGGGATTTTCTACTAAAAATGGAAACCAAAAAGCAAACAAACACTTCTTTTTTTGCCGTGGACAAGGCTATCGCTTTAATCCAAGCTATTGGGGAGTTTGACTCTATCCTTTCTCCTACTAACACCTTTTAATACTCTTGGGAAACACCTGTAAAGTATTGAGTAGGTGTTAAGTGGAAGAAACAATGAAGAGTTGGTTAGATAGAAAGCCATGCAGCCCTGGGCAAGGAATAAGTAGGAGGAATAGTCCTTTTAAGGAAGTGAATCATTGGGAGGAATAATGGGAACAAGCACTGAAAAAGACAAAAACGAGGAATGGAAAGTAATATCCAGGAGGTCAACATATCTTTTGTGTAATACATAAAAGCTGGCTAGACTTTGTCTGCCCAGTGTACATTTGAACTTAACACCCGAAGAGGGAGAAGAGTCTAAATATCGACAGATACGTATTTTGTTTAGAGAAATCATTGGTCATATACATGTATAGTACAGAGCTTTAGTAAGCTCTCACTATCCAGACACTTTTGGTTCTTTTTTTTTTAATTTAAAAAACCGAACTCACTACTACTTTTAGCTGAATTTAGATTGGTAGTTTCAAATGAACATGATCTTGGAAAAAAACTTACCCGTGGAGGAGCATGTTCGTGTTTGGTACACAGAAAAGTTCATTAAATTAATTCAGATTTAGACATTTTACCCAAAGAAAAACTTCAGACCCTCTTAGCTACAACAGTGCAATCCTTAAACTGTAGAAAAATCAGTTAACTGGACTATATTTGAAAAACTGTCCTTCACAGGTAGGTTTATTTTTAAATGGCAGTAGAGTCACAGTGGCTAGTTCTACATGTATTGTGGAGGATAGATAAATAGGTATCTTCTTATCTGGAAAAATCCAATTTGACTTTCAAGTTCCAGAATCACAGAACCATTTTGCATTTCTTTAAACTTAAGTACTACTACAGTGTGCTTAAGTTTTTCATTTGTACATCTGTCTTTCATTAGGGAAGGATTTCAGAAATTCAACCAACAGTGTCATCAGCAAAGTCTGCTGCCTGATAAATCTTTTCTGGTGTTTATACTTTTATTGTACCAAACAGGATATGTGAAATCTGCTCCACACCCCC